TTTTAGTGATCTTAAGGAATTTATCAAAGAGAAACCAGGCAAATAAAAAAGAGTTGGAATTTGATGAAAGAGATGCCAGCTGAAGTCATATTGAAGGAGTATTTGTCCAAACCATCAGGAACCAAAATAAACAGTTTGAATGTCAAAATTATCGAGTGAAGGAGACAAGATAAATCTGTTTTTTGTTACGCAAAAATGTGACATTGTGGGTGGTGGTACAAACTCTGTGCTGAATGCATTGGCTGCATACCTGAGATATTTGGAGGGAACAGCTCGAGATGACTGGCAAGAGTATGTGATCGATTTTTACACCACGTAATTCACTTTACTTGTGCCTTGAGATTTTTGTGAGAATGTTTAGGTTTCCATGGTGTTTGAGCTGTTGAGAGATTTTAGGATATGCATAACGAATTTGTCTGAACCTATGCTTTCCTAGGATAGGCTGTCAGTTTCTATTCTATCTTTTACTTTACTTTTTAGACCTGCCTTTTGTATTGGCATCATATCTAGAAGGAGAGTGCATTATGAAACTATCACATATGAGAAAGAACGAAATGCTGGATTCCTATCTCCGTTTGGATATTCTGCTGCCACTATTGCAGCAGCGGCTGACGCTTTATGCTCCATGGAAGTAATTGCTGCTTTACATTGGTATTTGTACAAATACTTAATTGATTATTCTTCTGAATGGTTTTATTCTTTGTATGATATACTTTGAAAGCTTTTTTCTCTTCTTAGGTCTGATATACAATTTTTAGTGCAAGGCTTCTGAAGCATTGCAGTTGATTTTGGCTGCAGTGCTTTTGGCTTTTGGCTCTAAAAAGTCAACTAAGTAATGAAGGACTGTACTCTGTAAGGATTTGGAGATGGCGTGGACATCTAATTCAGGTTTGCTATTGACAACTAATTCATACCTTTGGCATTTAAATATGTGGTGTAGTTTATTTTGTGATTAATTACTACTGTTAGGATAAGAGATTTTTTGCGTTCTTGATATACTCTAGTACTGTACAGTGTCTGGATTATAGATTTCTGTAACTTACCCTTAAGAACCAACTTTTTTATCCAGTATACAGTAGTTGGCAATGAAAGTCCTGCTACTCTGCTTGTGCATGGTTTTGGTTCCTTTCTTGAGCACTCCGTGACAATATAAATGGCATAGCTGAAAGTGGAAAACGTATCTGGGCAATCACAATGTTAGGATTTGGCAAATCAGAAATAATTGTATGTCGTTTCTATAACTTTTATAGATGAGTTTTTGTATCCCTACACATTCTAAATTAATTTATGGTTTTTTTTCTTTTTAATCTTCAAGCATTATCATATTGGTGCAAGTGGAATTCTAATTTGTCCCAGAGATTGAGGAAATATCGTTGTCTTTGTGGAAAACAAAATAGAAACTGTATAATTCTAATGTTGTATTTAACATCATTTGCGCTGTTATTACTAATGTTGTAGTCAGATGGTAGAATTCAATGGAGTTTTTATTTTCACATAATTTGTCTCAGCTGACTTCCATCAATTACGATATCGTTGTAAAGAGTGCCAAGGGATCAGTAAAGTCCCCCAAACCGTCTGAACCATGACTGTGGTTTAGCAAATATGTGTATCTGATCTCATATTTGTTCCTCTGTTCTCTCATGTGTAAGTTTCATCTTTGACACGAACGCTTTCATCTATGATTCCTTGACGAAGAAATTTCTTTGACTTGAGAAGTTCAAGACTAGGTTCATCTGGCTCAACATGGGCTCCAACCGGAAGTGGAGCAGTTGATTTTTCTGATGACAATTATATGCTGAGGGTGCATGCTAAACTGCTGTCACACTACAGGGATCAGTACAAATGAATTGCAGAAGCCAGTGATAGTTCCACCTTCACATCCAATCCTGCACTCACCCTCTCCCATCCCCCCAGCTCCCTCCCCGATCCCCATCTTCACTTTCTCCATTTTGTTTTCCTAATGTTATCACATTTTTATGTATGTATTTTTATGCTCAGATAATTAATTAAATCTCCACAAGCTTATGCTGGTAGTTCATTGTTAAATACTAAGCATATTTTGGTTTCTCTAAGTTGCCAGGCCGCAGAAAGCGATAGTGTAAATCTTCGCAAACATTGCAATTGGCTATTGAGACTCGCATGCTTTTGGAAGTGATGCACTAAGCAAGTAAGCATTTCATTACTTTAAAGGACATGACACCAAATTAAACACCCAAAATAGAGCAGTATTAATGTGATTCAGCATTCCACTTGGCCTTGGTTTTAGGGAGCTTCACCCCCACTAGCCAGGATTTATGGTTAATGGGTCTGTGATGCTTCAAGGCACCAAACATTATCAATCATTGCCATATTATAGAAAGTCCAAACACTGAGAATCAAGAGAAAATACATAAACAATGCCCAAAAAAGAAATTCAAGTGGCCATTATGTTATGAATACATCATGACAACGACTCTAGTAATGTGGGTGTACGTGTGTGTGTATATATATGTATAGGTTTTGCTATTCATGATTTTATGCTCAGCTGTGTTTTCTTATCTGTTCTTCTGCTGCGGATCCGTTAGATATTAATGTGGTTTTTGATAGGTTTCCGTCGACCTTTTTATATCCTTGCTTGAAGCAGGCACATCTTTAGTCCACGGAAACGCTGTTTGATCTGTCAAGATTTAGAGGGACCATCTGTAACATTGCCGTTGATGGCTTTTTGGATCTTCAATCTTCATATCCCTCTTTGTTTTGTTTTTATGTTCTAAATAAGTCAAAAGAACACGTTAGTTTAGGTACAGTCAGTATAAAAGTATAAAAGAGAGAATCAAATTAAACCTTTTTTCTGTTTTTTTTTCCTGGAAGAAGTCTAATACGCTCTCTAACTTAACCTTTAACAAACTACTTTATCACCGGATCAAGAATAAAATCAACATATGCATACTAATTAAGGAGGGTTTTAGGGCAACATGATCTTTTACATGTCAGTTTATTCTTACTGCTATCAGATATGTTCTTTTTATCGGGTGTTGTAACCAAACTCTTTTATTTTATTACATAATCCAACTCTATTGGGTCCATGAAACAAAGGTGAATGAGCATTTGGAGCATTTGTAGCCAGTGACAGTACAACTAATATTTTTGTGGATACTTTTAGGTAGCTCTACTTAAGGATGATGTGAACAGTTGCTGAGTTACTTCATGTATGTTAAAATGACCTTTAATTTCTTAGGCCAAAAGCAATGTGCTGGCTTGCGAGATCCCCAAATAGACACTAGAAAACTAGGGGACAATAGATAGGCTTGTTGGACGGGGCCTGAGGCATGCCATGATTCTGATATGTATTTTATTAATCATGATTTCCTTGAACTAAGAATGATTGGCTAATAGAGTTGTCTACTACATTTTTTTATCCCTTTCCCCCTTTATCTACTAAAAGAAGCAATTACCAAATAAAAGTATATATAATGAGTCTGATTACTATCTGCTTCAAGCTTGCTCGGCAATGGCCAATGATGATGATGGAAGCTTAGCTTTGCAGTGCACATATTTTCAACTTTATTATTATAAATTGTTATCAATGTAATTATTGGAAAGTTGAAACCATATTGATTAATGACATCATTGATGATTTTCTAAGTAAAAGTGACGTTAGTTTCCAAGTAAGAAATTTCAAAACCATTGTTAATTTCAGGATAAAGAATTTCTTAAATTATGGTGATGTTGATGAATTAATACAAATTTTATATTTACTGACAAAACTTTTCAACTATATATAAAGTTAAGGGAAATATCATCAACAAAATTTTGATAATTAATTTTCCTAGTTTATCTTTTTGTCATTTGTCTTTAAATTCATGGCTTTTAGCTTGAATTAAACCCCAAATGATACTCAATGAATTAGACTATAATTTCAGAACGGCAGACAGTGATAACTAAAACAAATATTAGTGGGAAAATATGTATTAAATTATCTTTGTTTGGATGGTAATGTAAGACTTGATTAGTATTAGTCGACCAAAGTAAACGGTGATGTTAAATGTAGGACACTCTTTGACCGTGATCAAGGCCAAGCTCCCACGCCAATTTTTGCGATCAAGATGAACAAAAATTGACCCATCCACTGAGAGAGGAATAAGGTTTATCCATTTGGGTCAAGTAATTTTCACACCATACCATTTAGGTCATGTAATTTCATTTTCAAATAATACAAATTCTATTTTAAGTTAATTTCACTTATAATTATACGACTCTATTAATCTTTGTATAATTATATTATATACGTCTCTGATTCCAGCCACCTACAACTAACTAAGGTTTTGACCTTTTCTTTCAAGTACGTTGGTGTCGTAATACTTTTCTTGACAAAATAAAAATTAAAAAAAAAAAAAAGCAAATCTCATTGTTAGTTTGTTAGCATGAAAGCGGATTTCAAGACTGAGAAATTTTAAATTTCAATCGTAATTTAAAAGATGAAAAATAAAAAAAATTCTTAGCTTCATTTTATAATCGAAAAAGGGCATATGCTATTTATATAATTTTTATTTTTGAATAACCAAAAAAGATGTAATTACATAGCAGAAACCACTACAGTTTCTTTACAGAAAATGCTCTGACTTTTATCATAAAAAAGCTTTCAACCACACAGCTCTTCAAGGGAGTGGGGTGACCATTTGGTGGCACATCTCTTTCTACTATTTAATGCAATCGTAAACCCACAAGGCCACTGCAAGGGCACATCATAAACATCCATGGAAAACAAATTAAAAAGGCTGGAGATCCTTACTGTTTGGTAAAGTGACAGCACACCCACATAGCCTGGATCCTTTTCAATTAAGGCAGTGGCCGGCTTAAAAAAAAGTTATCTATTTGGATCTTAAAAACATATGGCCTCTGGACTTATTTTTTCTTTTCTTTTCTTTTCCATTTCCCTTGCTGTTCTGAGATCCTAACTGAAGATAAATAATTTAACCGGAAATTAAGCTTAAAGAGTCCATTAATGGAGACCTATTGGATTTTTTTTTTTTTTTTTTTTACATGAGTGCAAAGAGGCACTTCTATTAGGTGCATGCTAGTACTTGCCAAGGGGATTGATGTCAATTTCACTGAAGCCACCAAATCCGAAACTTTGATGATCATCTCCACTATTTTGATAGTCCAACAACCATGAAAAGGAGTTTTCCTCCGATGAAGAGAACCCAAGTTCACTGTATTCTAGTTCCCTGGAATCTGGGCAAGGGAAGTTCCATGTCAGGTCATTGAGAAATGCCTCTGACCATATTAAGTTTATCAAGGGGTCAACATCACTGCCAGACTCTGATGATGACCTGGATTCATCGGTCGAGAAATTCTCAGTTGGAGGGCTAAATTCATCAGTAGTTGAAGAGACATGGCCACAATCTTTAGGCAACTCTAGTTGTTTAGGATCAAGATTTGGCTGATCATTTGTTTGACAGGTTGCCTCTTGTGGGTTGTCTGGTTTCTGTAAAGGCTCATGTGTAACAGGATCAATTCCCATCTTAATAAGCTTTTTCTTGATATGGGTGTTCCAGTGATTCTTGATCTCGTTATCAGTTCTTCCGGGCAGTCTTGCCGCAATTTTGGACCACCTAAAGAAAATGAAAGCATAAACATCATGTTAATAATAATAAAAAAAATGGCAGTTCTAAACTGTTGCCCCCGCATACTACTAAGACATAAGCATTTTCTATTTTAATTTTTTTATTACATTTCCTTGTACCCATTATATTATTTATTTAGCTTTGGTTTTATTAGAGCCATGCTTTTCTGTCAGTAATTACTAGGAAAAGAACTACATTACTTTCAACTCTTACAGTGGACACTTTTCAATCACAATTCCTACAAGTACCTTCAATTAATCCTTTGATAGCAGGAAAACAATCCTTAAAAAAAAATTCATTCTAATTGAGTTTAGGATGGTACCCTGTTATCAACTACTCTTTTATAACATTTTCTCATCATTCCAAGGACGAACAGGAGAGAAAGAAAATGGAAAACTTCTCTCTAAAAAGAGTTCTATTTCATTTTCCCCTTTGTATGAATTTCTTTGCATCATTTTAGTAGATGCTGCATTATTAGATATAAGACCCCAAAAAGCTGTGTAAAGTGAATTTCTTGTCTTCAAAAATAAGCAAAACCAATATGGAAAAAGGAAGAAAAAATGATGCATGCTTCTAACGGGAAATTAAGTAACCTATTGCCAAGACGGGCATGCAGATCAATAACAAGCTGCTCTTCATCGTCATTGAGGAGGCCTCGTTTCAAGTCCGGCCGGAGGTAATTGGTCCAGCGAAGTCGACAACTCTTGCCGCAACGGCGGAGGCCGGCGAGCTTGGGGACGGCGCGCCAGCAACATTGGCCGTGAGTCAGAATAAAATTGACCAATTTTTTGTCTTCCTCGGCTGTCCAAGGCCCCTTCTTCACGCCTAGTTTGTCACAACAAGGCTGCCTGCCCATAACCAGTAGTTGTTGTTACGCCAATTAACTCCAACAATGCCAAAAGCCCCACTCACCCACCTATATATAGCAATGAATTTCACTTTCCTTTAGGTAAATCAAATGTTACTTTCAGAGGTGTCAGCAGCCTCACGTTTTTATCGTGCGCGTCTGTGTCACGGCCCTAAGAATCAAAGACTAATTAAATTACTATGACCTTTCTTGAATTTTGCAAATGACAGTGATACCTTTTGGTAGGTCTTCTATGAAAATGAAGGTAAAAAATAATGGTTTAACAATAATATTATGCATGACGCTGCTTTATTTATCTATTTTATATTAAATTGAAAACTTGTTCAAGTCTTAAAATCTAATTGAAATTCTAAACCTTTGAAGTAAATATAGAATAAGGATAAGCATATGTTTGATCAATAATCCAAGATGTCTTACTTTTGATTTTCCTATGAAAAATGAGGATCAATGGAGCAGCAAGATGAGGTAGGAAAACTAATGGAAAAAAAAGTAAAAAAATTAAGTGTGTTACGTCATTCATTTTCTTGTATACATTAAAAAAATGTTAAGTGGTATTATTCAAATATGTTAATTTTTAAATATTTTATAATTTTTATATTTAAATTTGATTTTTTCATCTGTAATTTTTATATTTAAATTTGATCTTTTATTTTATTCAATCAACTACCACGTAAGCTATTTACATTATGTCATGTCAACATAAACTTGTTTTGCCACAGCATGTTTGCTATCACATCAGCAAGATGCCACGTGTATACCACACATGTCAGCAATTAATTAGCCACCTGTTTTGCCACTTGTTTTGTTATTTTTATCTTATAATTTTCTACTATTACTATTAATAGATAATTTTATATTTGGCTTACACATGATGAAAGTATATTAAGTGATGTTATTTTACATATATTAAATAAATTTTATGATTTTATTATTATCAATTGATTTTAAGTTTAATATTTTATAGATTTTATTTAAAAAATATTTTCATATTAATGTGAATCAGTGGTCAATAATCCGTATTTCAATCTTTTTATTATTATTAGATTAAAAATTATCCTTATAAATATTAGTTTTAGAAGTAAATTATATATATTTTTTATTATTGTAATAAATATGTTTCTCTTTTTTATTAAATTGTTGAACATACAAACTAAAGTGGTCAAAACTCAAATAGATTAATCCTTTGGTGAGATTTGAAAGCAAAAGGAAATAAACTAAATGGTAATAGGAGAAAACCATGCTATTTTTTCTTTTTTTTGAGAAAATAGTTGTTATCATTCATTCATTATAAAGATTATCAGCCTGAAGGGCATTACATAAAAACAACGGAGGTTTTTCAATCGAATACATGTCCAAACTAGCATTAAATCCTTAACTAGCTAGGATATGGGTAACCTCATTCCTTTTTCTTCCTATATGCATCACCTCATATGTTGTAAAACTCTTTATTTTGTTCCTTAGCCTTCTTAATGATTGTTTCTATCGAGAACATGTTTGGTTCCATTATTTTGAGTTTTTTCAAGATACCCAATGCATCTCCTTCAAGTGCTATGGACTACAACCCCATTTTTTTAACAAAATATAGAGCCTGCATACTGTTTTTGTATCGATTACAAACGAATCCTCTACTTTATCCATCCTAATAACACATGTTTTTATAAAAAGGCTATGTGAAACATGTATAATAACACCCACTCCTCCCTTTTTTTTTTTCTTCCCATTTAGTGCACCATTAAAGTTTATTTTGAAAATAATTGGCTTTAGGTGGCTTCCATCTATGCTCTGGTATTTCATTTGCTTGTTCCACTCGCTTCTAAGCTTTGTTGAAAACCCATATGTATGATTTAATAAAGTTCACAGCTTGGGTTGTTGTTACTTCCTTCTTATGAACTTCTTTATTTCTATTCGACTAATTAACCCAGCACATGATTGCTAGCTATTATGGCTAGTTTTTAGCCATTGTTTTTATCCAATTCGTCACCCATTCCAATCTCATAGTGTTTTTATCAACATCAATATCCTAGGTGTAGTGGAGTTGATGCCATACCTCTTTTCTTGTCTTACAATATTTCAATGTATGAAATGTTGTTTCTTCACCATTACTACATCCACTACATGTTTTATCCATGTGAATTCTTCTTCACGCAAGACATTGCATAGTTGATAACAACACATATCATGCTCGCCATAAAAATACTTTTATTTTGCTAGGTATGATTGCTATCCATATATTTTTCTATAGCAACATTTTGTCCTTTGTAGCTTGTGCTGTTATTCTTTTCATCATGACACATTAGTTTGTAGCCACTATTGATAGAGTACCTTCCACTCTTATCATAATGCAATATCAACATGTTAGGGTTTCTCCTCTTACTTAATGGTATAGAGCTTATGGTTTCTGCTTCATCCAACTTAAACTTTTTTTGCAGCATTTCCATTTTCCATTGTCTCATGTTTCAATTAATAAACTCTTCCACCAATTCTTTTGCATTCCAGTCCCTTTTTATGGATGAATGAAGAAGTCTTTCTTGAATAGCACCCATTTGTCTTGCTAAGCCCTTATCAGTTTTTCATCTTTAACCTTGCAACTAGTTTTCCATTTTAGTGTTGAGATCAAGTCCTAAATGCTATGCCACATCAAAGACGGATTGCTGTCCTAATTTGCCTTAAGAAATGAAGTCCTAGGAAAATACTTAGCCTTGAAAACTCCATATACCAGAGTTGTTGGATTTGTTAGAAGTCTCCACCTTTGTTTTGCCAACATTGCCTTATTAAAATTTTCCATGTTACAAAAGCCCATCCCTTCCTTATTCTTTGGTATGCATATTTTTTTCTAGTTTATCTAGTGCATTTCTCTTCTTTCATTATTTTGCCTCTATTAGAAGTTGTTTATTATGTCGTTTAGCTTTATGCACAATGTCCTTAAAAGTAAGAAACAACCCATGGTGCAAGTTGGAATCGTATGCATAACTAATTTGAAAAACATTTTTTTACCATCTTATGAGAGCATTTAGCATATCCTTCTAATCAATCAATTTTGTATCCTATCCTTTAGGTTTCTAAAAGCTTTCCTTCTATCCCTACCCACCATAGATGACACACCTAGGTATTTTTTTAGATTTACAGTGGCTCTTATCCCCAAAACCTCATTGACTTTTTCCTTACTTATATCATTTGTATCGGTGTTGAAAAATAAGATCGACTTAGCAAAATTTATATATTGTCCAAAGCTTTCTTCATATCTCCTTAGCACATTCCTCATCATTTTATTTTCGATCCCGTTTACTTTTACAAATAAGACACTATCATAAGTGAAAATAAATGAATAACTCTAAGTCTAGATCTGCTTATTTGTAAGCCACAAAGCATTCGTTCATTTTGGTATTTATGGAGTAAGGATGATAGCCCCTCTGTACATATTTAAAATAGATAAGGTAAAAATGGTTTATTTGTCGAATACCCCTTTCAGGTTTAAAGGAATTAGTTAGTTCACCATTAACCATTATAGAATAAGACATTGATGTAACGTATCTCATTATTAGATTCACCCAATGCCCGTGAAAACCTAGCCTTGACATCATTTTAGCAAGGAAATTCCTTTCCACCCTATCATACGCTTTGCTCATATCTAATTTAAAAAAAAAAAAACCCATCTCTTCCAGGCTTTCTAGTTTTCATTGTGTGCAATAATTCATAAGCTACCAAGATGTTATCAAATATAACGCACCTAGGAATAAATGCACTTTGAGCTTGGCTAATACAAAAGGATAGTAAGGTTTTTATTTGATTGACAAGCACTTTTACTAGAATTTTGTAGATGACATTACATAAACTAATTGGTTTAAACTGTGTAATACTAGTAGGGTCTTTAACTTTGGGAATAAAAACAATATGTGTGTGATTTATAGCCCACAAATCCTCATCCACATTAAGACATGCAAGGCAAAAACTAATAATATTAACTCTAACAATATTCCAAAATTTTTGGTAAAAAAGACAAGCATACTATCTGGCCAAGGGCCTTTGTAGGGTGCATCTATTTAATAGCATATAGGATTTCCTCAACTTGGAACTTTACTAGGAATGAGTTGTTCATTTCATTTGATATTTATGGTTCCACTACCTTAAGAACATCATTGAAATTTTTGGTCTTGTAGGACTTAAATAGTTTCATGAAGTAACTTGTGGCATTGTTTTTAACATCTTCATCCCTTTCACACCAATCCCCATTTTTGTTTTATAGCCTTTTAATTAAGTTTTTCTTTTTTTGTTGGGACACATGTGCGTGAAAATATGTAATGTTTCTATATAGCTACACCTTTTGTCTAAGCTATTCTTATCTTTTACTGCCAGAATACTTTCTCATTTTTTAGAAGCACATTTAGCTCTTCCCTTATATTCTTTCCCTTTTCAAGAACATCATCAGACACATTTTCCAATTGATGGCTTTGTAGCTCATTTTTTTAGGCGTTGATTTTTTGCCTCAAGCTATTAAATCTCTCTACATGCCATTGTTTTAACAAAACACCTATTCGTTAAATGCTTTCATGTGCCTTACCATCCAATATCCCATACATGCATGCTCAACCATTTCCCTACATTCGATCTTGTTGGCTGACGTAGCTTCGAACCAAAATCTTGATCTTTTTCTTATTTTCTTTATGCTTCCACTGACTTTTATACTCAACTATATGGGTACATGATTAAAAGTTTCAGCCACTAAGTGTTGAATTTTACTATTAAAAAGCCTTTTAATCCATTCCTTGTTTGCCAACCTACAATCTAAACTCTTTTTCACTGAGCTAGCTACTATTTTCTCCGTGTCCATGTGAACCAGGTTATTTTAAATCCTAGATCATCAAGTCCACATTCTTTTAAAGCCTCCTAAAATTTGATCATTTAGCTTTCCCTTTAGAGAAAAACCCTCTATTTCTCGTGGTTTCACATAATTTCGTTAAAATCTCCTATGCATAGCCATGGCAGCACATTTTGATTCTTGAGATTCTTTAACAAAACCTAT